CAGTGAAAGAACTCTGGGAGAATAAAAATCTCCTTGCTTCAGGCTTCTTTGGGGAAGGAATTGCACAAATGGGGTGCCACAGCTGAGAAGGCTAGTCCTAGTCCCCCTTCCCTCTAACATACTGTAGAGAGGTGGCCCAGCTCTCACACATGACAGCCACACCAGACAGATTCCTCTGATTCTCAGGAGGATGTGAAGAGTAGACAACTTGGCTGTTGCACAGTCACCAGGTGAAGATTCTTCAGCAGGTGAGAACCAGTCTACCTTAGCAAAGGAAGCAGGCCTTTCAGAGCTGGGGGAGGAGGACATGGTGGGCGCTCCTTGACACTGCCATGAGATGGATGGACCAGTTCCAAAGGATCTGGCATTCCTGCTGTCTTGCCTTCTAGCAGCAGGAACCCCCAGCAGGGTGAGTGGAATCGGGCATTTTTTTCTGGAAGGGAAAGTTTCAGTTTGGATTCAACTCTTGACATGGGCGGATGCTTCTCCCCCATCTCGAGGAATCTGCTCTTTTGATTCATTCTGATGTAACTGGTTGAACCCCATAGAAAGATTGTGCTTTTTCATCTTTGTCTAAGACTGCTGGAGAAGAAAGGAGGGAGGGAGAGACCTGCTCATGGTGCAGGTTAGCCTCCTGTGTACAGAGCACATCATCCCCAGTATTTCCCGTGTCCAAGCTGTACGTGCCCCTCCTTCTACAGCCTCACCTGCACCACCCATGCATGACAGGGGATTGTGGGGACCCTGATATTTGTAGATGTACCTCTCCAAATTAGGAAAAACCCTAACACTCTGTGGGGGTCAGATCCCCCAAACAGCCCAATGAGAAGTCAGCATGCTCAGGGGTGGAAGGTGATTGACCATTAATTATGCTGGGAGCAAGACTAGGAGTGAGCATGAACAGAGTGCAGTGGCTGGAATCCCTGTTGCAATACTTTGTTGCATGTCCCATTTGCAGACTGCTAATAGATTCTGGTCTGGATGGTCTAAGGAAAATGTGATCATTGGTAGACTATTGGCCAACTGCTGGTGGACCACATAGGTACTGCTTTCCTGGGAAACTTGCAAGAAAAAGGAAGAAAGAAATGATGAACTAGCTCGGTTCTAAAATAAAAGCTAGTAAAGTCCTTCTTATTTTTTAAGTCTCACCTAACACAGATATATTGCCTGGCTGGAAATGATGGGAATTGTACTGACATCTAAAAAATGTCGTTATAAATATAACAAATACTCTAGTTTCAGTGAACCATGGCATTCAGTTAGAACCTTTTATTAGTACCTCTAATATGTAGCCTATTAGAACCTTTTCTTCTAATAGGCTATATATTGCTGATTTAGAATACAATCCATTATCCCATTTCGTCAACATTTGCTCCTGATTTACCAAAGGAGTTGTCATCCACTCACCTTTAAGTATATGGCTTAAGACTCACTGAAGCAGTTCAGGCTAGAATCAGATTCTGGCATGTTTCCTTTGTGCAGACTCTAAACAACGGTTCTGAATCCTGAACCATTTATTTCGACTCATGAATGGGAATCACAGAGTGTGAACTGCTGCATGAAACAGTCCCGTGGTCCCAGCCCGTGGTGGTGGGACCTGGACATGCAGCAGTTATGTACATTAGCTGAGCAGAGTTACAGTTTTACAAAATGTGGCCAACCTGCAACTCTTTAAAAGGATGCTATAACACTTGGATTTGTAAGAGTTAAAACTGTGCCTGCCCCTCATCCTATTGAGGAAAAGTACATGCAGTCCTATATTTTGGTTTGACTTTCACAAAAAAAGAATGATCCTCAACTATTGACCTTTTGTGGCTTGAAAATTGTGGGTTTCTTGCTGCTGTCCTTGGGCACAGTCTTTTCAGCATAATTCTTTTCCCCCTGCTGCTTTTGTGGTAAAGGTGAAAACTGAGGAGTGGTTACCTGTAGCAGTTCAGTATGGAGCAGCATTTGCTGCCAAATGGCCAGGAAGTGATGCTTAGTGGTGATGCATCTCAATCATAGAAATGTTCTAATCATCATCATCATCATCATCATCATCATCATCATCAGTGGGACATCACTCTGTGTGAATGTTCCGTTAGGACTAGGAAATAAGTTCCACTGGGTGCAAGCAATTTCTTGCTAAGCTATTTATGAATCGATCCTCATGTGGGAAGCTGCACGCTCACCAAGTGTAATTGATTGGCCCCTGGACTACAAAGCCCTCTAATAGCATCTGTGTTTATAACTCAAAGTGCTTCTGTGGCACGAATATTTATTTAATTTGCATGGATTCCCCCAAGGGATCCCGGGACCTCTAGTTTTACAAGTTTGACAATTAAAAAAAAAGTCTAAATGAGCTATTTATTCAAGATGACATCTAGTAAGCTAAGAAAACATCCTAGTTTTATGGAACTAGAAAGATTGCCAACTTCTTTTTTCTAAGAGGGCTGCTGTGTCTTTAGCAATTACATGGCAAACAAAAATGTGGCAAGGGAAGCTTTTCCAACGTGCTGATGAAGTGATGGGGAAAGCCTCGGTGGATGAATTTCTGCTTGCTCCATGTCTGCTGAATTCATGGAACAAGAATGATCTTAAAAAGGAAGGAATATAAGCAGACTCATCCCAGATCAGATCAAAGGTCTGTTTGGTTCTTCACTTCATGGCCAATCGGCAGCTCACGGGAAATGTACAAGCAGGGCATGAGAGCAAAAGCACCATCCACCCATGTTCCCCTGCAGTTGGCATACTTAGGCACATCACCTCTGATACTGAAGGTAGCCTGCAGCCATCAGGGGCAGCAGCTGCTGATGGCAGCAGCATCCATCCAAATTTTTGGCCATTGGTACATCTTCTGGAATTGAATTCCACTGTTTAGCGATGCACTGCATGAAGAGGTGCCTCCTTTTATCTGTCCTGTACCATCCACAAGTCAACTGCATGGGGCGGGACCTGCTCTGTTCAACTAGTATAATGGGAGAAAAAGAAAAGTCTTTGGGTTCGGACCATGAGCTCACACAGAGACACACATGGAGTGCAGACCGTTATGGAAAGACCACGATGCACCTTCAGACTGTAGGACAGTTTTGATACACAGAATTTATTCCCATATTTCACCCACAAGAAAAATGTGGGGCCCATAGATGAGGATAATTGAGGAGTAGGCCCTTTGTATTATAAAAAAGTATACATTATGTATAAAATGTATATGTTATGGATAAAATTATGTATAAAATGTAAATGACATGGAGTTGATAAATGGCAGGCTTTTGGAGGCAGTAACAATGAGATTCAGTCCTTTTCCAACAGCAAGTAGAAAACTGAATCTGAGTGGAGCCAACCTGTTTTAACTCTCATTGTCATAAGTCATTCTGAAATGAAACTACGCAGGATGAAGTGTATTGCACATAATGATGAATGATGCAGTATAGTATTTACTCCTTCAGAGTACTGAAGTAAATACAATGCCCTGGACTGCACAGTTCTCCAACCACTATGGACCTGTGGGCCCAATGAGGAATTTCAGAAACCGTCACGGGTGCTACCACAAAGTGCTTAATCTGTTTTGTTGTCTTTTTTATTTGTTGTATGAGTGCATCTTAGCCTTTATTGTATCCAACAAAACCTTTTGCTTTGTTGGACACCACAGTGCCTCTTTAGTTAGGGGTTATCTAATTTGCCTAATTGTTGACTGTGCATATGGCTAAGACTTCCTAATGTTGAAGAGTCAAATGAAATCCTCATACATTTGTATTTTATCTTTGAATCATATTTAGACTAAACAACAATTCAAACAGAAGTACTTTTAAATAGGAGTGCCCTCTGGAAAATTGGACATAAGGTCACCCTAAGCACCAGAGATAGCCCAATTCAAGCATGCAATACCATTTTCCAAATCTGTATCTATTCTTTACTTATCTGTCAATATCCATCAAATGTTGGCTCTCCCTCTCTCCCTTGCTGTCCCCTCATCTCCCTTCAACAGCCCTTGTCCTTAGCATAAACGCTGACAGAATCTCTGGAAGGGGAGAAGGGGCTAAAGGAGGTCTCAAAAATAGCCTTGCCCCCTCCAGGGTCACTTCAGCACTTGGAAAAACTGGAAAATTTCACAATGTCAAAGGAAAGAAAGTTGGGAGGTTCTCAGTGTGTGCATGTTTATTGATGTATGTCTAAAGCCCCTTTGCCTGCTTTCTACTGAGTTATGACCTGCTTTCTTCAGGAGTTGTCTGCTAGTTTCAGGAGGTCCCCTCTCTGCACCAAACTAGTCCCTGAAACAAGAACTTACATGCCAAGGAGAGCTGGTGGTGATGATAGGGAAGCCTCTTTCTCAGCCCACCTGGGCCACTGCCAGTGTTGCTCTTGAGCCCTTTACTATCCTTTTGATATGATTCAGTTTTCAAATTGCGCCTTCCTATTGCCATTAAAAGGAGTGTTAAACCTGTGTGTGGAAGCCAAGGGGGAAAGGTGTCTTTTTTCCTTACTTACCTAAGACGAAGTACTGAGAATGTTCAGGCAGAAAATAAAAGCAGGGATGTTTCTGACCCCAAGCATGAAGATGCATAGGATGGCAACCTTATTGGTTTTCTGGCAGTCATGGATTGTTTTTGCTTTGGACTTCAGAGGCTTTGCAGGGTGGGTAGAGGGGTTGGGGAAGATGCTCTGAATGGGCCCCAGCCCACCTCCTCCATGGATTTTCCCTCTTCTCTTAGGCTCTGAACACACAAGCCCCCCACCCAAAAGAGAGGGCGACATGGGCAAGGGCATTCAAATGCTGACTTCTCTTTCATTGCCGCTGCCGCCATTATTATCATCATCATCATCATCATCATCATGTCACACCTTTACCACCCTATGGCCAAAATGCTCTTCCTGATTAGACTACAGAGGCTACAATACACAATGTAGAAATGTTACAGGCCCCTCCATTTCGGGGTCTAGGGCTCCACTTTTTCTCCCTCCAGAGCTGGCCCTGTCCCCCTTGCAGCTCTGACACTGTCGTTGTTCTTTTCTGTCAACAGAGCCCAAGAAAAAGAAAAAAGAAGGCAAGAAACAGGAGAAGACGCTGGAATAGGGAAGCTCTTCCGGGCTGCGTGGGAATAGGACTTCCTCGAATGTAATCGGTTAACACGTTTCATTGACACCTAGGTGTTTTATCCAGAAGTTATTTATAGCTTAATTGTACAGTAGGAAGAAATAAACATACAAATACACCCTCTTTCTTCTTTTTTATTTTTTACTCTAGTATTGCCTCCTCTAGCCTGGCGCCTTCCAGATGTGTTACAGCTCCCATCAACCCCACCAAACAGGTTGGCTGGGGACAATTGGAGCGCTAGTCCAACAGCCCTGGACAGCATCAGGTTGGGGGACGTTGCTCTAGTAGTTGAAATGTATACTCCTTAACAGCAGTTGTAGAACCCTGCAATTACAAGCAGTAATGTCATTTAGTACATGAGTACTGTTATATATTGAAAAGCGTAGATCCATTCCGAGTTCCCCATTACCCTCTCAGAGTCCCAACTTTTAAGGCCTGGCATGTTAAGGACAGGGTTTGTGACCCACATGGAATGCCCAAGATGCATCCCATGAAGGGTCTGTGAATGGTCGGTTCATATGCCATACAGACTGGCCACCCCACGCTTCACACAGACTGAACTCCCCCGCCCACCCTTCCTTTTATGTCTGATCACAGCAAGAGTGGGTCTCCCTCCCTTAATTGTACCTGCACTGAAATAACTAACTTGGTTGTAATTTACGCCTTTTAATAAAACAATTTAAGGCTCTAGTTCATAATGCTTTTTATGTTTCCTCACCTGAACACATTCCCCTTAACTCATGGGAAATATGAGAGTATGCTTCTTGTGAATGTTTCGCATTCTGCCACCGCAAAGCTGAAGCACCAAGCCCACCTTCTGCCCTAAGAAGCCTTTTGGAAGGCCAAGTAAATAATGTCTACTGGATGACCCCATCTGCGTACTTACTGACACTCAAAGAACTCTCAAAGGTCAATGAGACAGGCCTTCCCTTGCAGAAGCCGTGCTGATTCTACTTTTAGCAGGATCTGTCCCTCTAAACGCTTACTGACGTTATCTTCAAGAGTGCTTTCAACCAGTTTACCTAGTACAGAGGATAAGCTAACTGGCTTGTAATTTCCTGGATCCCCCTGATCCCTTTAAAAAAATAGGGTTATATTGGCCATTCTACGGTCCTCTGGCACAGAAGCTGATCTTGGTGACATGCCACATGCTTTAGTATGGTCAGCAATTTCATACTTAAACAATTTAAGAACTCTAGGATGGATCCCATCCAGCTCTGCTGATTTATTGATTTTCGTTTTGTCAACGACATGGGCAAGCATGACAGAATGCACATTGCTTCAACAATACACATAGAGGCTTAGAGTTGAGTAGGGTAAGAAGAGGTTGTGAAGTGGGTTCTGAGAAGAGACTTTAAGGACGTCAGGGAGGTGGCATCATGTGGGGCTGCTCCAAAGTGGTTCCAGGCATGATGGACAACAAGGGAGAAAGGACGGCGTTGTCTGAGGGAGGAGACGACAGTCATGTGGCCGACAGGGTAGAGCTGGGATGGTGAACATTCCTGTTAGAGCAGTTTTGGGAGGGGAGAAACAAAGGCCAGGGGATGGATTCGAATTTAAAATCTGAAAACTCTCCAAAATTCTCTTGTTTTGTTTCCCACCTATTTTTTTGGCTCATTTGAATGTGCAAATCTTTGCATTTCAAACTGCATTTTTCAGAAGGGCACATTCCCCCCATTGACACAAGCATGTGCATTCTGTGAAAAATGTGTCTCTGGAAGAGTGCAGCATCCTTTCTTTACAGAATTGCAAATTGAGGAGTCTGCAGGCTTTTTGGGAACATGGTGTTGCGCATGGGAGATGGTCACATGAATCATGAAATGAAAGGATCTTAGGGGGAGGAAGAACCAATGAGCAGTCAGGGAGCCAATTCTGTGAGATAAGGCAATGCACACCTCATTTCTGCCAAACCCTCATTAACTTGATGATGTGTTTAGCCATCAACCCTCTTGGTTATTAAACAGCAAAGATCCATGAGCAAATCCAGCTCTCTGTATAAAGCAAGCTCCAGTGCTTAAACTCCTTGTTGGCCTTTTCCAGAAGCCCATCTAGCCCAGCATCCTGCCTCCAGGAGTGGTCAGCTACTGTTTTGAGAGGGACGGCCATGGTTCCTAGTTTTAAAAGGTAAATGCTGTCAGAACTGCTCTACTGTGTATCAGCTCATGCAAAGACTCTCCTGTCTTCTATTGCCATGTTGATGAGAGGTGCCATTTCAAAACAGAATGATGGGGTTTGGTACAAGGCACCAGCCTTACATGTAGAATGGGCCTGCTTTTAGTCTGCCAAGCTGGATTCTTTTGTAAAGTTTCTGTAAATACACTGCAGTGGTTCAAGATGGACTGTTGAAGAAGAGCTCCCATCTGTCAAATCTTGCACAGATGGTTCCAAAAAAATGTCTTGGTCCTTGAAAATCTACTCAAAGATGCAGTTAAAAATGCACAAAAACCAACTCAGAATTCCAAATCTCTCTGTGGACATGTGGTTCCTACTGGGATGAAAGGGACTATTCTGTATTGCCTCCAGTTTGGAATACCTTCCACTTAGTGTCATTGTGAATTGGTTACATTGGTACTAGTTTAGTGATTTGATTGTGTTTGGTGTAATTGTCCTTATTCATGACTATTGCATAAGAGTCTGGTTTCCATGGAAGTGAAAGGCACCCCAGCACTATTTTTAATAAAGGGATATATTAGCAATACTGAGTTCAAGTTACTAGTCCATAGGATAGAATATGATAGATGAAGGTAACCGTCATCTGAATATGGAGATTACTGTCTAAGATACCTTGACTAGATATCATGATTAGTTGTCCCAAGGGAACTGCTTTCTGTGTGTTTATCTGCCTCCTTTGACCCCATAAAAACATGCCAGTTTGACCACCAACTACCTCAAATGTTAATGTGAGCCATCTTTATGGGCTTTCCCATAGCACTTGTCATCTGGTTCCAAAGAGCTCACCTCACTTTTCAAGGGTGTAAACATGAATTATCCACAAAATTATTGGACTTTGTTTGGTCAAGAATTTACCAAAATGCATGAGGTTCTCAATATTTGGGAGAAAAAGAATGTGATTTCTTTATTCTTTATTTTAAATCTATTGTGGGAGAACCCAAAACTGATAGATTTCCCATCCAGATCCAGGGATGTGGGTGCTTTGCTCTTGAAAATATGGGTTTGAATTCCTGGTACTGAGTTAGGGTTGCTACCACTTATTTTTCAACAGGTCCCTCACCTTGAACAACCATGTGGCAGGTAAGTAGGACACGGCCCTCCTCAAGCTGGGAATGACCAGATATATTGAATTTGGCTGGTGCAGATGAATGAAAGCTGCATTTCATTTTGTTTTGTAAATGAGGATTTAGCAAAATTGGCAAAGTTTTTTATATCCAGGAAAGAAAGAATTTAAGATTTTTTTTAATGCAAGCATAAAAGCAAAAGAGGTATGCATTGATTCATCCATCTCTGTCTGGGTAACACTTTGGGCTTTGAGGACATTGGCCCAAATCTTTGGCCTTCCTTTGCCCATTGAGCTCTGACTTTTATGGACTGAGAAACACCAACCAATTACCAGGTGGATAAAAGAAATCCAGAACAATGTTTCCCTGTATAACATATTAAAAGAATGCACTGAACTATTAAATTATTTCTTGCATTTCTGTGTCTCCTCTTGGAAACAAGGAAGGTAGTTTATAAGAATTCAGAAAATGAAAATCATTAACAAAGGTGTATGAAAGTATTAAAGAACCTTAAAATTATAACAACAGGTTGGGGTGCAATCCTATCACCCTGTCCATGATGCACATCAGCTCTCAGACCTGGAGGTACACCTGCATCCTATCCATCAAATGAGGCACAGAGGTGGTGATCTTCATCTCCACTGAATTAGGAGCCATGAGGTCTCTCGGGGTGCCTTTGTCAGCTGCCTAAGTAATGTGCAGGGGAGGAGGAGGAGGGAAGGAAGTTGGGGCATCAACCTGGAATTGGCAAAAGTCTTCGGCCACTGCCTATCCCCCTACCCCCAGCATGTCCACTTTTGCCCCTCCTGGGGCACATTTGTGGCTTAAGGGTGGCAGGTTGCATGGATCTTTCCTGGTAGGGCAGGGCCCAGCCTTTGGAATCCTAGCTCTGAAACCACATGCCCTCCAAGGTGAGAATCCAAATAACCTATTTCCCTCCAGACAACACTGCGGGTGACACCCTGCAAACCAGTTATCAGTTGCATTGAGAGCATGGCCTGAAGGTGGGATACAGAGGCTGGGGTGGCACAACGCTGGAACAACGGCAAGAGCGGCTGTTTGGGGAAAAAAAGGCAAGGGGACCAAGGCCTGCTTTGTATGCCATGCTTATCCCAACCTTCCTGCGAAGAGCTCAGGGTGTCACCCCTGGTTCCCTCCCCCATTTTCTCTTCCCAAGAACCCTGCAAGGTAGCTCTGCACCCTGCTGAGGGAGAGGAGGTTTGCCCCTCTCTGCTGCACTTCCACAGGCAGGAAGAGACTGATATATCCAACCCTTTGGTGCATAAACTCTTCATCTGGGTGCTCATTTGACCCTGTTGTTGTTTTCTTTTGTTTTAAGTTGTGTTTTATTGTATTTACAAATTGATGGTTTGATCCGCAACTGTGAGTCAGCTTGAGTGCCATTCATGGAAGAATGGCAGAGTACACATCCAATTGAATATTTGGAGGTTGACGGAATGGGGATTCAAACCCAACTCTCCCTTGCCCTAGCTCAGACCATTCACCACACTGGATCAATGGCACCAATCTCCTCACCACAATCTTAGGCTGGAGCCCAGAGCATAGTTAAGGACAGTGTAGAAATCTCTGCAGGTCTGGGAGGTCGTTGGAGGTTCTGGCCATCAACTCCCACCACCAGCTCCAAGGCCAAGCCCCTGCCTCACCCCCTTGCAGCCAGAGTGGAAAGAACCGTGTGGGTTTCTTCCCCAGCCCCAGGGCCACAACTGATGGAAGCTGGTGATGTACAGTGAAATTCTTCCAACTTATTGGGGGAACTATGCATTCATAAGGGGAAGCTGGGGAAACACGACCAAAGGGCAAAC